TGATATCTGCCTTTGGGTTCACCATATCTAATTACAGCAAAATCTTAATCTTAACTCTTTCGCTGTTATGGATATGTTAAATTGTTTGCCCGTTGATCGCTTCGAACGTCTTTACAGGTCTTGCTGTTTCTGTTCCCTGACTGCTATGGACGAGAAAACATGTTGCGACTTTCCTTATAGACTGGTAAGGGAAGTTATTCTCATGGGTCAAAGGGCAAAACACATTAGCCACATTTGATACAGATGACCCGTATACATACGATTAAGCACTCTGTCGCGCATGTTCAGGCTATTAAAACTGCGTTTCGCTTTGATTACCATGGACGAGTGATAAGTGACTTGCATTTTACCAAGTTTGAGTTTTGCATCTTAGTCTATATTTTGTTTATATAAAATGGAAGGTAAAATTTGTTACACTTGGTGAAGAAATTAATGAAGTTTCTTTCAAGCAGTGAGAGTGAAGGTGACTTCAAAATGTGTACTTCTGGCAGTGAGTGTTTAAAACAATCTGGCCATCCGCATCCACAATACAAACTGGCATGGCTGATAAAAAGACTGTTTACATATATGACATTCTCCTTTTTTTTCCTCCAAGTGTTAGATCTTGTAATTTTGAATGCATGTTAGTTATATAAAGTTGGGGGGGGGGGGGGGGGGGGGGGGGGCTTCTGTTTCTGATTTTCATTTGGCATGTTGAATTAAGAATGGACATCACACCCCTATAACCACTCTGTCCCCATCTTCAGCAGCTAGCAAAGAGTTAAAAATGATGGTACCAGTAACTGTCTGATTGTATATCCGTCTCACCTTTCCCCTGAGTGTCGAGCATCGGCCAGATCCCCTTGTAACTCCTCACTGTGCCATTCTCCTCAGACCGCAATGATCTATCTGTGCCTTGGCACTGCTCGCTCGCTCCCAAAGGGCCCTCACAAGATCCAGCTTGTCATACATCCAGTTCACTATCAAGTGGTGCTGAACTGGCCAGTCTATCTGCCTGCTTATTTTTCAACACACCGCATGACCTGGAGAAAATATTCAAAGGTTGGTAACTACCCTGGACCTTTGAAGTGATGCTTCATTTGACATTAAGGGAAATTCTCAAAAAAATGTTGCAAGGAAAGAATAAAGAGTGCAGGAGGACAAAGGAGTGAAGATCTGCCACTACGGTTGGTGCAGAGATATTTCTGATCAACAGTGGAGTTGAAAACATCACAGAAGAAAGTCCCTAACAAGAAAGTGTGTGGTGTGTGAGCCAAACAAAGCCACACGAAACCAGAATCATGAGCAAGGAATGTGTGTTAAATCTTGCTCTGACATATTCTATACACACCACGTAAGTTAAAAAAAAAGAAAAAGGAAACTACCCTTTTCCGCGCCTTTAGGTGTATAGGGCTAGACCTATATTTTATAGACCAATCGGCACAAGATGGGTGATGTGGTCAGCATCACGCCAGCCGCATTTACTTCCCGAGACTTCACCCGGCACCCACTCAAAGTAATTTTTTTTTAAAATCCGGCTCCGCCAGTGGGTGAACCCACGACCTTCTGATCTGCGGTGAGCGTCCAGCCGCTCAGCCACCGTGACTCCCAGGTCCCATTGTGGGGAAGAAAAAATAAACCACTGCCCTCCTAACAATCGTGTGGGAAAAGTTGATTAATTAGGGTTGTTTCCCTCTAAGCCAGAGTGGATCTGCCAGAGAGTCAAGGAACCAACAGTCTGCATACAAATAAGCCAGATCTGTAAAACTCAAATTCTGGAACAATTTAAAATAAAGTCCAGAATTAGACGAACAACCAGAACTTTCCACTGGAGTTAACAGCCGGTGAATGTGAAGAAGAAATTTACAAAAGAAGCAGAATTAGAAGTTGCCCACAGTGGATAAATGGAATATCAGAAGCTGTGAGACGGACACGGCCTTGCCAGCCAGATAGACATGGACGGCAGAAAATACTCACACCAAATACTACGCAATGAAATAACAACACAATTTGTTGCCATGATAATAACTGATACTGACTATGACGAGTCTTTAACAAGTTGTGTGTGTATTTGTAAAAATAGAAATAATATTTTCTAACGAGCATCATTTCATCAGCTATAACAAGGTTACTTTTATAGAATCACTATCATGTTTTGTGTATGTATTTGTAAGAAGAGAAAGAATGTTTTCTAAGGAGCATTATTTCATCAGCTATAACAAGGAAACTTATAGAATCACTATCATGTTTTGTGTATGTATTTGTAAGAAGAGAAAGAATGTTTTCTGACAAGCATTATTTCATCAGCTATAACAAGGAAACTTATAGAATCACTATCATGTTTTGTGTATGTATTTTTAAGAAGAGAAAGAATGTTTTCTAAGGAGTATTATCTCAACTTTGACAATGAAACTGTTTTACAGAATCACTATTATTTTTTTAGTATGTGTATTTGTGGCGTTCTGTATGCTAATACTTCATATATCAAGCTTGCCATATTTTACTTTTCAAATTCAGTTTAATTTAACTTTGCATTTCACTTTGTAAATGAGCATATCCAATATTTTATGCAAACTTTAAAAAAAAAAAAAAAACTTCTGTTTGATACATACACTATCTGGGATGATGTGGGACACATGGTCTCATGACCGATACCGCTTGCAGTAGGTTGGCCGATTATTTGTTTTGTTTATGATAAATGGATGGATGGATTGACCCGTGTGGCTACAAAATGTGCGGGTTAGCCCCAGGAACAGGAACAAGTTCATCACAGAGGATCAAGCCAGTCGTTCTGATGATTCGTCAAGGCTCTCGTTTGTGTATGAATTTCGCAGAAATGTTGCCATTTTTTTCAGTTAGATTTTGTGGCTTCGTGTGTGCTAGTGCTTTGCATTTCAAGTTCTTCGTGTTTCTCAGTTAAAATTGAGATAAGTCTCCGTGGTAATGATTGTTACGTAAATTAAGAAACACATTTCTCTGTGTAAGTTGTCATAGAGAAAGAAGCTAAATTAACACTTGTGCCCGGGTTTATAAGCGGTTTTCTGTCCACGTTGATATTTGTTCTGCGGTTTAAGTAACGAATGCATAATTTTCAAAACGGGAAAGGTTTAAATCACTTGCTTCCAGTTGAAACAGGTAAACAGTAGTTTCAGTATCTGCCAGTTATTCAGAATTTTTTCAGTTTGTTTTGTTTTTATGTTCGTATAACTGCCATTGGGTGCAAACTGCAACTGCTTCAACATGCTGAGAGAAGAAATACTATCTAGAATACAATTTGGAAATAAAGTATACTATGCCCTTCAGCATCTGCTTAAGTCTGTCTCGCAACACCAAGATCAAAAAGAATAGCCAAACAGCACAGCTTTGGGAAAATTTGGAGTGGAAAATCTACCCAAAGTATTTCAGGATCCTCGCCAGTGCAGCGGAGTTCGTGCACTGCGCTTAAATGCTTCGGACTCAGGCTTAAGTTAAAAGTAGGCCAGAACACTTAGTGTAACTACCATTGTGCCATGATGTTGATCCATCGTCAAAACATCTAAACCATGTTCTTCAGCAGCCGAGTTTTTCCCGGGACACCCTCAATATTTCTCTCTGGCTATTGGACTGGAATCCTGACATTTCCCAGACTTGAGGGCATATCTGAGATTTTCTGCCCAGGACAAACAGGTGCGCCGGCTAAAAGATTGGCTGCTGCCATTTATCTGGGTGATCATCTGCTTGAAGTAACCATCATCTCAGCTGTGTCATTGCTCAGCAAGTTGCCAACGATGAAGCTGTTTCATCTGCGATGAAACGAAAAGTGAATGTGGTGGTATTGACATGTAATATCTGCTAGTCTCTCGAAAGTGATACTACATGGTTCAAGAAAGTAATCCTCTGAAGTGTAACTGAGAACCTTAATGAAGATGGGAAGAGACAGAAAACACATACACAAAAACAGTCGGACATTTTGGCAGGAGCCCTTATCTACATAAACACCAGAGTGGTAGTATCCTGGCCACAGGGCTCGGTACACGTAGAAAGGCAACAAAGAAAAAACCCTTGTTATAAAATGTGGCTGACGGAATGAAGTTCAAATGTGGGGCAGTCCCAAACAGCTCACCATCTGTGACTGGATTTACTTATATGCGTCAGTTAACATATTATTGTCGGCTCTGTGGCTAAGTCGATGCGAACACTTCGCTTCGTAATGCCGGGATGCCAGGTTCGATCCCAGCTGCTGGCAATGCGCCTTGCGTTGGTTTCGACAGTGGTATCAAGAATGCCGACCGTCCAGAAAGCAATGGCAAACTACTGGACATAAATTTGCCTAGAGAAACCACACAACAGCCAGGGGCTGTTAGGGTTGGTTCTGCAACGTCCTGTCGAGGATACGCAACAACCTTAAACATATTATTGTTCTTGTACATTTTATGCTTAGTCTAGGCATGCTAAAACTCTCAACAACATTTGTGTCTCCCACAAGGGATGTTGTGTATTTAGGCCCTGTGGGTGTAATGTACCCGTTGTTTTGTTGATGTCGCAGGCGACTCACTGGGCACATTAACTATGTCATTCTGTTTACACATAAAGTCCTTGAGGAGGAGAGTCCTGATCAAACAACCAACAGTAACCATGGCCCGATATCACATCATGTTACGGAGACTGTGATAATAGAGATTTTGTTATCATGTTCTCTAATTATTGAGATCTTTCTGTAACCCGAAATTATGTGTGTCCCAAAGGGATGTGTATTTAGGCCCTGTGGATGTAGTGTACCCTTTATTTTGTTATGTCGCAATCAACTCACTGGGCAGATTAACTGTGACATTCTACAATGCACACATAAACAGACAGCCAACAGTAACCTTTGAGCCAACAACACATACCAACAGTAACCTTTGACCTGACAAATAATGTTATGGGGACTGTGATAAAAGTGATTTTTGTTTACCTTGTTCTCTAATTATTGAGATCTTTCTGTAAAACCAAAATGTTTTAATTTCGGTTACCACAGTGTATGCTTTCTGTCACTCCAACAGAACACAGGAACATGCCGTTAGACGATGCAGTCAGCTACATTCTCACCAGCTTCCGCAATTATGTCACCACCTTGAAAGAGAAAGCAAGCATTGCGGCTGATCGCCAACCATCTCCCGATAGAGCTTCGGATACTTTCCTACCAGCATCCCCGGATGTTTCTTATCTGATCAAGCTGTTAGCGGATAACCGGAATCTGACTGTTGAAGAGCTGAATACGATCATTCAGTACCTTGAAAAGCGGCGCGACAAGTTGATTGATCCGAGGAGTCAGTCGTTGACTAGTAAAGGTGAGCTGTGTTTCTTCTTCCTCTTCTTCGGGTTCACCGGCTGTAAACTCTCAGGTGGAAAGTTCTGGTTGTTTGTCCACTTCTAAACTTTGGTCTAGTACCAGAACTTGAGTGTTGCATGCTTATCCATTTGACAGATCTGGCTTATTTGTATGGGGACTGGTGGTTCCTTGCTTCTCAGGCACATGCACCTTGGCTTCAAAGGATGCCTCTAGTTAGTCGGCTTTTACGACATGCTTGTTAGGGAGGCAGGGGGTCTGTCCCCCACCCCTCATGTGGGGCCCAGGAACCCACACATGGGGAGTAACATTTAAAGTGGAACGGATTGACCTCATTGTACTAGGTCCCTGTATGGGTTTCGGGGCCCCATTATAGGGGAAAACAAGAACAGACACACTGCATCCCCAACAGGCATATTGTAGGAGCTGACTAGTCGGGCGCTTCTTCTGAAATCGGAGTTGATCTGCCCGGGCGGCAAGTAACAACCAACAGCACACAAACAAAACTCAGGCCTTGGCACGAAGCCAAAGTCCAAATAGACGAACAGACGGGACTTTCCGCCGGAGCTTACAGCCAGTGAACAAAGAAGAAGAATTTTACTAGGTACTAGGTTTTAGCCTGCGTGGCTTGTCTCTTAACAGAGTCGATAACTGCCTTGGAGAGATCATGTGGCTTTTCGTAATGGTAACCCGATTAGATTGTCTCCCTGTGCAGGTTTTGTGGTCACATTTTCGGGAGTAGGGGGAAATAGGCCCCTGCTGAAAATGGGGCCCTAGTTTTTGTTTTTTGTTAACTTGTTTATTTTATGAATGTATAATGCAATGGAAATTATACAGACTATAGATGAACAGTGTGATATGTTGCATGAGTCAGTTCAGCAGACGTCAAAAGAGACAGTCCCACTGACCTATAGAGTTGCAAAAAAAAGAAATGGATGTCAACCCAAATTCTGCAGTTGATGGATAAAAGAAGGAAGAAAGAGAAGGATTAAGTAGAATACAAAAAGTAATAGTCAACAAATGCAAAGTGACTAAAGAATGTTGAATGTTGAAAAGTGGCTAAAGAAGCCTTACTGAATAAAATGTGTACTGAGGTTGGAGAAAATCACGGGAAAAACTCACATTCCATGTACCAACAGATAAATATGTTAACAATAAAGATGACACGTAACAGCACTGGATGTTTAAAATAATAAGTTGGCGACTTATTAATGATAATATAATTAACAGATAGACAGAGTATACAGGGGAAGTGTATGATGATAATAGACCAGATGTAGAACTGCAGACCAACAATGATGGTCCACCAATAATGGCTGCAGAAGTTGAGGATGCAGTACATCATATGAAAAAAGGAAAAGCACCCAGGCCAGACATCTCACTGGAATAAATCAAAGCACTGGGAGATTTTGGAATTGAAAAAATAACTAAACTTCTAAATGATATTTATAATAGTGGGTACATTCCAAATGACCTTTTAAAATCCATATTTATAGCTCTGCCAAAGAAACCAGGCACTTTAAAATGTGAAGATCATTGCACAATAAATAAGTCTTATGAGTCACATGACTAAGATGTTACTGAGAATAATTATGAGAAGAATAAGAAACAAAATTAAACCAGAAATCAGCAATGGACAATGTGGATTTGTAGAAGGAAAAGGTACAAACAATGCAATATACATCCTTATGACATTGTCAGAAAGAGCTATAGAAGTAAATGATTTTTACTTATGCTTATAGACTATTCAAAAGCATTTGACTGTGTGAAACATGAAGAAGTATTTAAACTAATTAAAAATTAAACATTAATGGAAAAGATCTACGAATAATAAAGAATATGTATTGGCAGCAAACAGCAGCTATAAGAATTAACAACTGTTTGGGTACATTTCAATGCATAAAGAGAGGGGCGTACGACTAGGATGTGTACTGTCACCTAATTTATTTTCATTATACAATGAATACATAATGAGATCTTTAACTTTTATGTCCGGAATTAGGTTGGTGGGCATAATATAAACAATTTACATTATGCTGACGACTCAGTCTTGATAGCAACAAGTCAAAAATAACTACAGGAAATGATAGACATTGTGGTGGTAGAAAATGGAAGAATAGGCCTTAGTTTGAATAATGGAAAGACAGAAGTAATGGTGGTATCAAAGAAAATTCCTAAATGTGTAATAAAAGTCTCTGGTGCTATTTTGGGACTACATAAATTTAAGTATCTGGACATGGATAACATCAGATGGAAGATGCATTACTGAGATAAGAAACAGAATAGGACAGGGAAAAACTGCATTTTGTAAAATGAAGAACATGTTATGCAATATATATCTGTCATTGAAGGTTAGAAAAAGAATTCTTGCCTGCTACATACATCCAGTTTTAACATATGGCTGTAAGTTCTGGACGTTTGGTAGGCAGGCCAAACAATTTCTTGAGGAATCAGAGATGTGGTTTTACAGAAAATACCTTGGACAGCCAAAAGGAGCAACCAAGAGGTTTTGAAAGAGGCGGGAGCCCGAAGAGAACTTATCACAGACATCAGAAGAAGACAGTCATCATTTTTCGGCTATGTTATGAGAAGAGGGTAAAAGGAACATGTTGTGACCACTGGAAAGGTCTGTGGAGGAAGGGATAGAGAAAGACAACGAAAGAAGGTTCTTGACAGTCTTTGTGCATGGCATGGAGGTGTGTCAGCACACGAAGTTATACATGCTGCAGGAGATGGCAGATTGTGGAGAAGCATGATCGCCCACACCAGTCAGCAAGGCACCTGATGATAATGATATTGCAATGGAACAGCAATGATGTTATGCTAAATTGACAAATGATGAGATGAGATGTATAAGAAGTGTGGCTGGACAGACGAAGAAAAACACTAGTGAAAAACATAGAACAGTGGTAGGTACAGTGCCAGTAAAAAATTCACACGACGTCAAAGAATCAAATGGTTTGGTAATTTAGTCAGAATGGGGGAGGGGAATCAACCAGCAGTTAAAGAACAGCAGACAAGAGGCCAAACAAGAAACGAGGGACCTGCTCACGTTTCCAGGCCTACAATTAGAGTAACTTCCCTTGCCATTCATGCCTCCTTAGGTTGATGGATCTCTCCTATGTTGCAGGGGTGTTATGATATGGCTTGGTTTGTCATTCACTTTTCGTATGTGATGTTTGTGGGAGATTTTGTTGTTGTGAGTATTTCAGGCGTCTATGTACAAATAAGAAGTACTGCAGGGAAAACTGCAGCAGAGGCAACTATTCTTGGCTATCAAAACTGTGATGTTTTTTGTTGGTGGTTCATTTTTAGTTTTGTTTAAATTTATTAAATTATTTAACTTTTTTATCATATTTTTTTTTTAAATATAAAAAATTTAAAAAATAAAAAAAATTTTATTAAAAATTAAAAAAATAATGTAATTAATAAAAAAATCCCCCCCCCCCCCCTTTTTTTTTTAAATTTAAATGCCTTCTAACCTTCTTTTGTTTTATAATATAGCCCGTCCATTGTTTTATTCCCCCCACACCCTCCCCCCATTATGTACTTCTTTGTTTCCTGTTGACCTTGGTTGTTTAGAAGCTGTGTTTGTCCTCTGAGTTGTCCAGTCACAGTTTGTATTGTATTTAACACCTGTTGATAAAGTCTTTTTGTAGACACTTACATCCTCCAATGAACATAAAATTGTGACAACACAGATGAAATACCTTAGAAGAGCTGCAGGAGTTTCAAGGAAAGACAGAATACGAAATCAGACGAATGCTAGGAATAAAGCCAGTCTTACAAGTCATCAAAGAACAACAAATGAAGGTCACCTAACAAGAATGCTGTGGTACTATCTGCCACAGCAAGCCACAATAAAATGTTACAACGGGTATAGAGCCAGCAGAAAAAGATGGAGTGATGGCATTAAGAACAGCCTTACAGAAATGAACATCAGTCTTAATAGTGCTCTTGTCAGAGTTAGTCAACGAATGTTACATCTTTCCCCGACACTTTGCTGAGGTACAAGGTGGAAGTCCTTAGTTGAAACATTCGGTTGTATTTGTGTGTGTCTTTTCTTTTCGTCCCGTGGAACTATCTAGTCACATTTTGTGTTGCATTTATCATTTACCACTTTTTATCATCATCTTGACTGCAGTCTCCTCCTCTTTACCTCATTAATTAACATTGCACATTCTGCTTCATTCTCACAGAGAAGTCCCCAAGTGCCCGCAGGTCTGCAGACAATAATGACAACTCCTCAGAGAGCCGTCGCAGGTCTCCAGAGAATCGCCACAGATCCTTAGAAAAGGGCCGCAAGTCCCCAGAAGTAGGCCATCGGGGGTCAGTGGAAGCAGGTAATCGCAGATCCCTGGAAGGCGGCCGGGGGAGGTCTCCGGAAGAAGGTTACCGCAAGTCCCCACAGAGCTATCGCAGGTCTCCAGCAATGGATTTAGAGGAAGTGTCCCAGTCCCCCAAAGCAGAAGCCACTGGAGCCTCTGAAGCACCTTCATTGTTAACTGAAGATCTCAAGAGCAAGATTCTCAACATCCTCAACAGTATGCGCAATACTCAGAGCAAACCAGCTGCAGATGTAGAGCAGCCACAGCCCATGTTTCCTGCAGCTGTTTCCACCACTGCTTCTCAGGCACCAGTTTCTCCCCCGCCGCCTCTGCCATCATCTCTTCCATTGCATCCTGCAAATGAATTCAACAACTCGGGCGCGCAAGATTCTACAAATGTCTGCCAGAACTCATCAGGTTTTGTGAACAACGCAAATTCTGGGTTTGTCGACAGTGTGCAAGGAAGCAGTTCAACGTCTGCAGCGCTGGGTGCTTCAAATTTTCCTTCCAGCTTTGCAACTGGAAATGAAGATGGCTACCAGCAGGGAGCGTGGCAGGGTGGTGGGTACGACCAGAATACGTACAACCAAGGTGCCTACGACCAGAGTACGTACAACCAAGGTGCCTACGACCAGAGTACGTACAACCAAGGTGCCTACGACCAGGGTACGTACGACCAAGGTGCCTGGATGCAGGGAGCAGAACAGAACTGGGGCATGCAGCCAGAGATGGGGCAGACTGCAACAGGAACTACCGGGGCGCCCTTCCAAGAGGCTTATAACTATCCTGGCAGAAACAACCAGATGGGACAAATGAGAAATAATTATGGGCAACCCAGATATTAATCTGAACACTTGTGTGTTTCATACATCTCTTGTCAAACTGATGTTCAGTTCTGTGGCTTGGAAACTAGTGATTGCATTTAACAATCCATGATCCCTAGGGTTCAGTTTCTGTGAGGTTCTTTTTTAATTGTTTTGAGAATCACACTATGGAAGAGATTGGTGCAGTATCTCCAAAGACAGCATTCCGTGCACCGTAGCCAGCCTATGCAGATGGCACAGATCTGAAATGTTGAAGGAAAGCCGTGATTACTTTGAGCTTGTTGACATGTCCATAGAGTTTGTCCACAGAAAGAACACCTGGTGTCTCCTGTTAAAAGATAGCAGTTATGTTATGTAATGTCAAGTTATCGCAGTCGACATCTTTGAACATTGGGCTCAGTCTTCCGATGCAGCAACCACTCCAGGGTACTTCTGCTGATTGTTTCAGGGGTTGGTTATAAAATCTCCTGTCTTTACCTCGAAGACGGCATAGACCTGCTTCACTAAGCTAAACTCCACGGTCACGCAGTCGTGTTAGCGTCAGCGATACACCATTATTCCCCCAACCTAGTCCGTACGAGGTTGATAATATCAGCTCTGTCCATGCTTCTTCCAGTTTGCATTGGGGCATTACTTGCCAGCTGGTCAACTCTTTCTTCACCATCAGAGGTAACAGTAGTCAGTAGTAGGACTGGGCCGTGTTAGCGCAGTCAGTAGGAGACTCACTTTCAAATCCAGCTGCGACTTCCTGCAGCCCACGGCCGATGTTCAAAACTTGGCAGTTCCCAGGGTTTACCCAGTCTCTAGGAAATTGCCAGAGTTAACACTCTGGTAAATGGAGGAACGTCGCTGTAGCTACAGAGTTACGTGCGGGTGGTGACACAGGTGGACAGATACTTATCAGCTGTCTGTACTGGTGGCAGAGCACTTATGGTTTATAACCGTGTGCAATGACGCTGGTTCACATCTCCCAACTTTACTTTTACCTTTTAGAATTACTAACGAGGAGCTTTCGAAGAAAACTTGGTTAATTCAAGTGAAGCAAAAAGTGAAGAAAAGACCACTGCTTGGGGTAAGGAGGCACACTAACCGTTGAGGCAGCCTGCCAGAGCGCGCCCCTTTTTTCTTGGTTGAATTACCCTTTCCCAGGGGTCACCTAAGACCATAGAATTAAACACATATTCATTGAAGTTATGAAGGAAAATAATTTGTGGGGGTCGCCAGAACATGAGGTAACTGTATTAAAGAGTTGTGGCACCCGGAAGATTGAGAGCCACTGCGCTAAGGTCTCGTTAAATATGGCACTGACAAAGAAATAAATTCTTTATGTTTGTACCACTTTGAATTAAATATTTCATTTCTTTTGTTTTTCCCTTATGATCATGAATAACCCTTTATATTCTTAGACTGTGTACATGGTTTGTAAAGTATATATTTATGGAAATGCATCTTCCATTGATCTCTAGATTCCCCGTGTAAGTTCCAGGGCCCCCATTGTGGGGAAAACAAGCAAAGACCCACTACTTCCCCAACAATCATGTCGTACCGTTGACTGTTTGGGGGCTTCCTTCAGTGTCAGAGTGCATCTGCACAGAACCAGCAGTCTGCATGCAAATGTCAGATCTGTAAAACGGATGTGCATGCAACACTCAGGTTCTGGAACAAGACTAAAGACCAAAGGTGGACCAACAGCAAGAACAGTCTGTGGATGAACACAGAGAAGAAGATCACTGGATGATGGATCGGATGACGGATCGGATGACTAGCTTTCTTGGATGAGTGAGAGAGAAAAAATGTTACCCATGTGCATGACGTGAGCATCGATGATCCTTCAAACAGTAGGGTGTCGTCATGATCAAAATCCCAGGTCAACATGCTGCCTTCTGGTTTCTGAAGGTGCAGCTCACGATGATAAGGGCTGGGATTTGTTAAAATGCACTTGGACTTCTGGTAATTCCCCCTAGTCTCTGGGTAGTCAGATCGGACGCCCGTGTGCATTGTTGCGCACGTAAAAAAATCCTTTGGCAGTTGGAAATTAAAATGAGTAGCCTAACGGCGCTGCCCTGGCAAAATTTGGAGTTTAAAATCTACCTTAAGTATTTCAGGATCCTCGCTGGTGCTACAGAGCCTGTGCACTGTGCTGAGCTTCTTCTGACTCAGACATGAGTTAGATGAAGAATGGAGCACTTATGGGTTGCACCTATGTGCCATGATGTTGATCCAGTGTTCAAAAACTCAGACCTGAGTGAGAGGCTCTTTATACAGAAGTGAAGTTGAGCAGTCATGAGCAGCATATGACGAATCCTTGGGCAAGCTCAGTGCCAGAGTGCCATGTTTCTGCTTTACTTTGCATTTGTGGAAGCCTCCTTGTATGGTGGCGAATGCTTATGTTCTTCCCCCCTGACTTCTCTAGGGGGCTGACCGGCTTTGCTTGGATGCTGTTGATGGAGGGAGGAGAGGTCCACCGCCCGTGAATTGGGAAGCAAAGGTGACAACCCAGCAGTGAAGCTGTCTGAGGTTCCTACGAAACTAAACCACAAAGTTAAGTTAGTTGTGTATCCTTTACAGAACGTTGCAGAACCAACCCCAGCATATTTTTTTTACTGTTGTGGTTTTTCTAGGCAAATTTACATCCAGTAGTGTACCATGAAGGCTAAACTAAAATGGGTGCCATGTAAAGACTTGGGAAGTAAAGGTGGCTGGCAGGATGTTGAACACATTGCCCATCGAATGCTGATTGGTCTACAAAAGTTGTGAGCCTAGCATCATAAGCCTCTGCTGGGAAAAGAGTACTTTACTATTTCTGTATTCTTCCGCTGGCTTGAGAATGGAGGTAGAGGCAGTCACTGCAGCCTTTGACTGGCTTGGGATTGGAGGTGGAGGCAGTCACTGCAGCCTTTGACTGGCTTGGGATTGGAGGTGGAGGCAGTCACTGCAGCCTTTGACTGGCTTGAGAATGGAGGTGGAGGCAGTCACTGCAGCCTTTGACTGGCTTGGGATTGGAGGTGGAGGCAGTCACTGCAGCCTTTGACTGGCTTGAGAATGGAGGTGGAGGCAGTCACTGCAGCCTTCCACTGGCTTGAGAATGGAGGTGGAGGCAGTCACTGCAGCCTTTGACTGGCTTGGGATTGGAGGTGGAGGCAGTCACTGCAGCCTTCCACTGGCTTGAGAATGGAGGTGGAGGCAGTACTGGATCCTTTGGCTATCTTGAGAATGGAGGTAGAAGCAGTCACTGCAGCCTTTCACTGGCTTGAGAATGAAAACGGAGGCAGTCACTGTATCCTTCCGATGGCTTGAGAACCAGCCATATGCACATGATAATTGTAACCCACTCACAGAGCATGTAGAAAAAAGTGGAGATCGGTATGCTTCGTGAAGAGTGGCAAGCTTCACTTCAGATGTCCTGGATAGTTAGCATCCTTCGGATGGTTTCTTTAGGATATGCCAGTGTATTCGGAAATGAACAGGCAGATAGACTGGCTGGGTGTGTACAACTTCTTGGTGGAATTATGCATGGCAAGCTATATGTTATAGAGCCATTCTGGTGCCAGTGAACAGTGCAGAAGCACAGATGGATCATCTCAGTCTGAGTAGAATAGTGCTGCAAGGAGTGACCAGGGGATCTGGCTGACACTCAACCTGTATGGGAGAGGGGGGTGTACAATGAGACTGTTACTGGTACCATTGGAATAGGAGCTGCTTAAGATGGGAACAGAGCGCTTATGGAACTGTCCCTAGTGCTGTGATTCTTATTCTTAATTAAACATTAAATACTGTATTGAGTCCTGGACTAGATGCCATGTGTGATTGGTTCTTTACAGTGTGTCCCAAACAGCATATCATAAATCTTTTACATTTTACATTTGGTCTTACTAGACTAATGAAATCTGGTTACCTTGATGGCAATTTTTGTACTTGTTATTTTCCTACAACAGTAGGAATGTGGCGTGCTAGAGTTTGATTTATGGAACAAATAAATTTCAGTTTTTAGCCAAATCTGGAATTGAAAGTTGAACCAGAATGTGTATCCAGGACTGTAATTGAGTAGTGATTCATAAGTAGTGTTTTTATTTTGAAGTTTGAACAACTGATCAACGTCTTGGCACCCATAAGTGCTCCGTACTAAGTCTGACTCAGGTCTGAGTCTGAAAAAGCTCAGCGCTGTGCAGAGGCTCTGTAGAATCAGCCAGTATCCTGAAATATTTTGGGTAGATTTTGAACTCCAAATTTTGTCCGGGTGGACGCCGTTAGGCTGCTTTTGTTAGTTCCAACTGCCAAGAGATTTTTTACATGCGCAACAATACACATGGGCGTCCGATCTCACTACCAAGAGACCAGGGGAAGTTACTTAAAGTCCATGTGAAAAAAAAATCCCAGCCTTCACCGGGACTTGAACTCGGGACCTCTAGCACTCGAGGCGGACACAATACCTCGAGACCACGCAGCCCCAGTGTTTTTATGAAGTAGGTAAGTACCAACTTTAATCAATGTTTCTAAGATTGCTGTTCACGTGTGCAGTGTTGTGTGTATGATGTAGCCAGGTGGTAGGACCAGGCCTAGATAGGTAGTTTTTCCTTGTCATGTTTTAGGTTGTATATTTTTTTTCCCCTAGTAGACTCCAGCCCATTGCACAAAGGAAAAGATTAAGATTTAAGAATGGACTTAGAAGAAAGCTAACTAAGATATATCATTTTGTTTGGTGTGCCATTTGATGTCACATTGGGCTTGTATTCACTTCCTCCACTGCACTTTGTTGCATGCAACTCTCTGTTTCTGACATGGAGTTCAGCCCAGCACTTTTAGCCTGTCGTATTAATGTTCTCAATATTTCCCTTGGATGGTTTTTTTTTTCCTCAGACCGTTTGATTCCCAATTCAGTGCTTCTTTTATAATTCTTTGCTCTTTTCATCTCAGAGTGTGCCCAATATATCTCCACCTTCTTTGTCTTATTGTGGTCAGTGCTGCACGTATACTTTGCGTAAATTGTGACGTTCTGTTTGACATCGTGCACAAGTCGTCTT